TTCTCAGAGACGCACCACAACACCCCCCCCCCCCCCCCCCCCCCAGCCTGCTCTGAACCCTGCCCTGGGGGAGGATGAGTTGATGCAACATTTCTATTGTGTCTTGTTCTTGTTGCTGGGACCAGTACACAGTGTGACTAGGTTCACAGCCTCCCCTTCACAGCTGACTGGGTTTCATTAACACGTTTTCACTGGTTAATCATAAAACCTGACTATAATTCAAGAACATTCTTTTGGTTCACAGTTAATTATTTCAGGTGAAAAACGTATGAAAACAGATTTGGTCAGTGTATTCTTACAGTGAAGTCACTTTTTTTAGTGTATTTTTACTGTCTTTTACTGACTGGAGTGGTAACTTCACCATCAAGGCATTTTTTTCACTTCACGTTTACTTATTATTCACTTGTTTTATATTTCATAATAATAAATATATATATTTGTACCATGCACAGTGTGTGTTAACCTCTGCTCCTTTTCTCACAGATCCTCCAAATACTCCATGTACTTTAGAGCTCAGTTATTGGTCAGATTATGTGTTAGTGTGTGTGTGTTTCCACGGAGGCCGTGAACCTGAAATAAAAAGAGAGATTATAAGACAGGATGCTCTTGTTTAAAAACCAAAACATAAACTAATAATAAAATGTAAAACTTCGTACGTACAAGATCTGGGTTGAGGTTAAAAGTCCTACCTGAAGGTTTGCTCTACATGAGTTTGTCTCTGTGTCTGTTCATACAAAACCAGACCAACAAGTCCTCCCACTGTGTGTGTGCTGTTGTTGCTATAATGTTTATCACACTCACTGTTATGGTTTGGTGCTGACTATAAACACTGAGCTCATGTTTACATGCAGGAGTCTGAGATGTAAACGACAGCGTTTGTGTTTGTAGTAGAGAAGGTAAAATATTTTTAATTTTTTTTTACATACTTCAATAACACGACTAAATCATCTGGATGAAAGAGTAGTTTGACATCAACATACAACTGTTCCTGAGTAGTAGTGGAAAATTTCTATGCAACATAAAAAAAAGTGCAGACAATAGTGTGAAAGGTGATTTATTTAGAAGTGTTAAAATTTCAGGTGAACAGATCAGACGTTCATGGTTATTAATGTATCATTCAGTCAGTGATTTAAGATGAAGGTGATGTGTTTACTTTTATTTTTACATGCAGACAAAACAAAAAACAAAAAAAATCCCGAATGGTCTGAGTAAACTTTGTTGAGTGTAAACATCGGAATGTAGCTGTTACAGTTTGCATGTTTGTGACGGATGGCGTCATGTTGTGTTGGGCTTCACCCACTTGTACTTTCCCTCATAGCGGAATCCGACCCTCCTCGTCAGGTCATCTGCCTCTGTCGGACCACGGCTGGAGACAAGGAGGGAGAAAATGTATGTAAGAGATCATCTGCACGACGAGTGGAAAACTTATCTGTGGTATTTTGTCTGTCATTGGAAACCAGACGTTACCTTCCGTATATGTAAGGTATCGGCTGCGTCTTCTCTCTTTCTATTTGGTGGAGCAGAGGAGTGAAGATCCTCCAGGCCTCTCGTAACTCATCGCTGTGACAGAAAGAAGAGATGGCCTCAGAACAGACACAGGTGAACTTAGTGAAATGTGGCAATAAATGCAAACACCCACCTGCGGACAAAGTGCATCTGATTTCCACAAAATACGTCAAGGATCAGTCTCTCATAAGCATCTGGGAGCTTCACATTCTGAAACAACAGGAAAAAAAAATAGAAGAACAACGACATCCAGTCAGACATGCTTCCAGCTGTATCAATTTTCTCCGTTCAGCTTCTTCAAAAAGTTTTATTTGTCCACCCCAAGGGTGAATTTAAAGTGAGCCGGTCTATAAATGTGTACAGGTCTTTGCTTACATGGAAATTTAAAAAATGTGACAAATGCAGATACAAAAAGTCTAAGAGAATTCCCTGAACTGCTCAAGAGATGGAAGATCTGAGAAGTGAATGATTTTTGACTTGATTCTAGTTCGTTTGTATGAGTGATCTGAAGGCGCTCTGGTGAATAAAACATGTTACTGTTACTTCAGAACAAAGTTTGTCTATGTTAGAAAACTGAACAAAACATGAAGTTGATGAAGAGGTGAATACTCTGTACACACACAAAACTATGATGATACTATCTTGATATTTTACTTTATTCTTAAATAATAATTCTAGAAGTGAAATGTTAAATAATATCATCAAAACCTTAGTGGTTCTCAAACAAAAGTACAAATATCTAGTGGCGCCATCTAGTTGTGCATGGTCCAAATGTTTGGCTTAAAAAGCTGTTTCTCTGAAGACAAACTCCGAGAAGGAGCAGAGGGAAAAAAATTATGGATATCTTTTTTCCTCTGTGTTTGTTTTCAGAATTAAATGTAAGTACCAGGTGAAGCCACAGTGTCTTTGTCAGATGAATACGCTAATTATCCTATTAGCAAAAGGTGCTTCAGTGACAGTGTTATATGTCACAAGGTGTTAGAGAGCGTGAAGATTTTGAACCACTGCTGTATGAACGATCAAGTTTCGAGGAGTCCACCTTGTATCTGCTCCTGTAGGTGAGGTCCAGCTCAGTCTCCTCTGGGCTGAAGTAAACCCCGGGCCTCTTGGTCATCATCTTCAGGTAAATGGCTTCATCCGGCTGCACTCGCACCACCAGCTCATTCCTCTGACAACGTTCTCCAAAGATGTCCCCTGGAACGTCGGTGAACTGCAGACGCACCTCTGCCTTCCGCTCGTTCAGGGCTTTACCACAGCGCAGAATAAATGGAACTCCTGAGGAGAGGATTGTACAAGATGAGATAGGAGGAGGAGAACCTGAGGAGGAGCCACAAACAGAGAACGGGGAAAAAGAAAATCTCACCATCCCATCTTTCATTTTGAACATAGACAACAGCAGTTGCGAATGTTGGTGTGCATGAGCCTTTAGGTACGGTGGGGTCATCGAGGTACCCCAGCCGTGAGTCACCCTCACCCTGAGGGTCAGCCACATACTGACCAAGCACAACATCTGAGAGTGACACCGGAGCTACACACTTCAGTACTTTAACCTGAAGACAATCAAAAACACAGAACACCAGGTTTGTAGTTAGTGAAAAAACCTCACAAGTTCAACTGGCTGTCAACCAATCAGAGTGGATTACCTTTTCATCCCTGACATCATCTGGGCTGGTGGAGGCAGGCTTCTCCATTGCAACCAGACAGAGCATCTGCAGCAGGTGGTTCTGCATGACGTCTCTGTGAGACACAATGTTGGGATTAGTGGTTTAATAATCGTCACTGATGTTATCACGTTCATCATGGTCTTGCTGCATCTCACCTGATGATACCAAAATCATCAAAATAGCCTCCACGGCCTTGAGTTCCAAAAGGTTCCTTAAAGGTGAGAACCACACTGGCCACGCTGTTCCTGTTCCATATTGGTCCAAAGATTCGGTTTCCAAACCTGAAAGGAAGGGAAATACATTTAGGAACATGTTTATTGTTGATATATAGTGCATGTGTGGTCTAATTTACCTGAGCACCATGAGGTTCTGGACCATCTCCTTGCCCAGGTAGTGGTCTATGCGGTAGATGTGATCCTCAGTGAACAGTGACCCCAGATGAGCTGACAGTTCCTGCGAGCTCTGAAGGTCACGTCCAAATGGCTTCTCAACAATCACTCTGTTCCAGCCTCTGGTTTACAAACACAGAAGCTCAGAACCATCACAGCAGGAGAGAAAGGATCTGACCTGGAGTGACAATTAATAGATCTTCTAGGAAAATGTTATTTTTGATTCTCTTCATTTCTCGCTTCATTTCAACACAAGAGGAATATTTTAAAGAAATATCAGGGTATTTACTGGGCTTTATTCAAGAGGAATTTTTTAAAGAAATATCAGGGTATTTACTGTATCATCCGACGACCCCCTATACCTACGTTGAATTCTCAAACGACACACACAAAAACAGAGAATATATAGGAATGGTACTGTATTTACTGATTGACTTAACATCAACTTAATCAGAATCAGTCTCTCCAACATACTGTATTATTAGGGGGAGCGCAAGTACCACCTGTGGTCCCCGTACTGTAGTTTGAGAACCTCTTGGGCTTCCTGACCTGATAATAATTTTGTTTGCATTCATCCAAAACGCTCAGTGTGTGATGTCATTTGGTTGTCAATAATCTATTTTGCATTGTTAATATAAAGTCAATATACTATTGACTGTATATAAATTTCTCTATTTCTTTCCATGCAACTGTTAAGTCCATTAAGGCCCAAAATGTGCCCCAAGACAAATCCAATTGACCCGACAGTTATTATTTTAATACGATTCTTGACTTCAGTGTGTACCTGCTGCTCATGCAGTGAGCTCTGATGTTGGTGCTGACATGCTGGTACACAGTGGGGGGCAGGGCCAGGTAGAACAGCCTGTTGGCATCTGTGCCTCCAGGAAGAGATGACATATGAGTACCGAGCTGGTCGAAGGAGGGGCCGTCGTCATACCTGCCTCTCAGGTACGAGTTCTTACTGAAGAAGGCTGAGAGACACTCGTGGTCTCCATCACTGACCTGCAGTAACAAGATTCAATGGCATTCCTAAAGTTCCAAACCAAACTGAATGACATCATGTTGGAGGTAACGTGGCCGTGTCTTTGGTTTTACCTTCATGTAAGGCAGACACTCTGCCTTGATATTCTGCACTGTCAGGTTAGAACGAGCAAAACCCACAAAGTAGGTGTTGTCTGGGAGCAGGCCATCTCTGAATAACCACCTGTGGGAAGAACAGGGTTAAAGGCAGCGACTAATATGTCTGACCAAGGGTCACACTGTTGTTACATGTTGAACAAACAACATCTTATTTACCACTTCCCGCTCTGGTTGGGCATGTACTTACCATAAAGTTGGATAGATCTTCTTTTTAGCGAGATCTCCCTGTGGAAATGATACAACATAGATCATGGATCTGAACATAACCCAGAGAATGAGCAGGAAAATGTTGAACATATACAGGAATAAAGTAAAAACATTTTGGAAGATACTATTGTGGCTAACATTTTTACTTAGCGTGCGTTCGACTTTAATCCTTGCATTAAAATAGTGTTTATACATATATAATACATTCAGCAAATGTCCTTCAACATGTGACAAAGTCTCCTTTTCTTAGGAAAAAAACACTCAAACAATCCATTGTTTTTCAGCAGAAAGGTGAAAACAGGAAACACAGTAGAATCTCGCGTTGGTTTTTACCTTTCTGACACATACAGTACAGACAGACTAAAGTGGGACTTCTGTCAAAGCAGACAGAAAAAATTTAAGGAAGTTGTACTTACGGAGGCACCAAGAATGACGAATATGTGCGTCTTAGAAAAAGTGGAGCGCTCCTCACCAAAGAGCTCCTTTCTGAGCTGAACAAACAGCTCGGAGCGAGTCAGAGGCTCAGCAGTCATCTTCTGATCCTGTGATCGCTCTCTCTCTCCACTGAGGCCACGTCGGTCCCTGACATTCACTACACTCAGTACGGACAAAGTTCTCTTGTCATCCTAGCTCTGCAAAATTACTACTCTGGCTAAATGCTGCCACCTACCGTTGCAAAGGAAAACAATGTCATTGTCTTCCTCGTGTTGCCTAATCTCCTCAATCTTCTCTTGAATCTTTAAAATCCACCCTTCACAGTGAACAAAAGAAATCGTTTCGGTTGCCCCGGGTAAGAACGCTCTGCCCTTTGACCTTTAACTTTCAGTCAAGATTCAGGTCTATTCAGACAAAGTCAGAAAAATGTAGGTAGGAATGTTTCCTGTTCAACCACTCCTGGCAGAAATGTTGTGTAATCATTTTTCTGTGACCTAAGAAAGTTTGTTGCCCACTCCCTATCATTGAGTAACCTCTGAGTAGGCAGTCCACAGTGTTGTTAGTATTAAGTAATGGATGTTTGCTCAGCAACGACCAAAAATACTAAGTGTAAAAATTAAAAATAACCTCACAGTTAAATAAGAATAACACTCTTACACCATTAATAACCAGGACAACCAGTGATTGGTTGCAACTATATTTCTTATAGGACTGTAAATTTGGACATGGTGCATCAGAGTTCCTGAACCTGACTGTGCCATGTCACAGTTCATTGTCGTAGAAAACCAGCTGTGCAGTGATGTTTTCAAAGTGTAAATTCATTGAATTAATCAGTAATCAGATTTTACAGCGCTCACCCATTCATCAAGCTGTACCTCACGTGTGCAGCATTCACACTCGCTTTTCCCCAACCACCTTCATCGGTGAAGATCACCTGAGATTTGGTCATAAATAAAATTTTAAAAAAGTCGCTATCAATCTCAGCATCCTCATCAAACGCAAGCGTCTTTACTTTGTCCTTCATCTGTATGTGTGTCCACCTGCTTGTGTGCAAGTTCAACCGAATCAAGTCCTTCTGGCTCCTTACAGTCCAGCATGAGGACGAGGGGCACAAAATGCCCGAGGACACATGTGTGCTAATTGGGAGGTCAGCTAAAAGTCCAGTGTTGGTAGAGGTCAGCAGCGTTACAGTTATCCATCTGAATTTGTCCTCCTTTGAGCTGTAAACATCTCCCAGTGGTCGGATTTTTCAATAGGTTTTCCTGGAAAGAATAGATAGAAAAAAAAAATCAATCACAACACAAGTTTGTGGCTGAAGCTCCACCCCCTCCTAAAAAAATAGATGTAAATTATAGGCTGTCATCTTCCTGTCATTTTTTGTTGTCAGTTTGGTACAAGTATCTAATTTTTGCTAAGCTCTTGGACAACACTGACAAAGTCTTAACCAAGTTTTGCATGAAAAATATGAATCTAGATCAGTCCAACATCAAGTTTTTTTTTTTTTTTTGTGTAGATTTCTTACCAAAATTACTTCTTATTTGTATCTCTACTAGTTTGTTTCTCTTCTCAGTTCTTTTCAGTTGGTATTTTGGCAATATTATCTGTTTTTCTAGGCCAGAACTAAGCCAACTAGCTCTAGGCTAGCTATGTTATTATGTGTCAACTGTTGGTTAACTTAGGCAGCGGTTATTCAAAACTGTAAAGATACAATTCCTTTGTTTAGCAAGTAATTAACACTAACAACTAGAAGTGCTACAGAAACCTACTTGTAGATTTTCTGCGCCGATTAAATTACGTATTTAATCTCTTGTTATGAAGCTTCACTGGAATTTCAACAAAATAAATATTTTTTCTTTGACAGACTTTTTACCCACATAGTTACCAATATTTGAACTAAAGCTCAACCTTAACCATCATTCCTTTCTGTGAAATAACCTCTCCATTACTTGGCCAAATCTACTTAGCAATTATTTAATTTGTCAACCAACACTGTTGTTAGTTAATTTGTCACATTTAAATAATGTGTCGTTCTTTGTGCAACAGTAGCTGCGTTAGTCATTTTCCACGTCAACTCGTGACTTTGTTTTACTTTATTACTGTTACCATCTACTTCTACTTCTTACATTTTCCATTGGTCTCTCCCAGAAAAATACACTTCTTCATATGTAACCAAACATGATAATCATTTTTAAACTCAAATTCAATGCTCAGCTTGAAAGCAGAGTGCCTTTTCTAGAGGTTCAAATCCTAGTTGTTCCTCACCTCTGTGAAAATCCACTCCTGCTGTGGAGCTAGACTGGTGCCTTTCCCCTTCAGCTGACAAAGCTCCAGCTTCACCAGCTCTGGGTGAGGCGTGGCGTGGAGGCAGAGCTGCTTTCCTATGTTATGACGCAGCTCCTTATGAGACGAGTATTCGAAATACTGCAGTGGACACCAGTTCAAGTACAGACAAGTTTAATTTTTTTAGAGCTTTGAAATAACTTGCTGCCTGTTTGTCACGTGTGTAGGTCACTGTACCTGGTTGCCGCCCATGTTGTGACACACGTACATAATCACAGGTTTGCCTCCTTCGTTACGCTCCCCAACATCCAGACAGGTCTGAGATCCTGAGTTTCTAAGCTGATGAAAACATCGACAGTGAGGTGAAGCAGCACAACATGAGTCCAACTGCGTTTCAAGTCTTAATGCAACTTACTGCTCCAAATTTCACTGGTGATAAGTCAGGAATAAAGGCCTCTGGGTAGACTGTGTTCAGATACCAGGTGAAATTCTTGCACTGTAGCCGCTCTCTTAGCTGCAGACGTCCAGTAATGTCCCCATATCTATTCTGTAACAGTGAAGTAAGTTGAAGTTAAAATATTTATGATTAAAAAAATATGAAATATTTTTTGAAAAGTCAAATCAAGAACAGCTGCTCTGGTCACACAGACCTCTCGGGCCATGTCTGCTGCGTTCTTGTTACGGCGGTAGTAGATCTTCTTGTAGTCGTCCATCCAGACCTCAGCCAGTCTCACCTGGTTCCGAGTGACTTCGGTACCTTTGGGAAAGGTGTGAGGGCTTTTGGTGCGGAACACATGGCCAACCACAGAACAGGGGATGATCTCTAGCTGACCTCCACACTGCCACACCTACAGAACACATCGGCACTTCTTTTAATTCTACTCACACCTTAAGAAATAAAAAAACCAATGTAGGAATAAACTCTGAGAGACTGACCCGGAACGACATCTCCACATTTTCACCTCCCCAGATCTCCATCTGATCGTCGTATGTCCCAATGTGTTCAAAGTACTTTTTTGAGATTGAAAACAGACCCCCAGCAAAAGCAGGCGTTCTGTAATTGCACAGACACACACCACAGGGTCAGACACAATGAAGGATGGGCCGAGTTTAAAATTTGAATGAAAATGGAGTCCTTACTTCACTGGGTAGGTTTCATCCTTGCGCAGCTTCCGAGCTTCCTCAGGTATGGCCTCCCAGCCGAAGGTTAAGCTCCAGTCAAAGTTTCCACGGTTGTAGGCGCGATTTGTGGCCACGGGCTTGTGGAACTGGAACGAGTTGAGGTCGATTGTGGTGATTTCTGGACTGACCACAGCGGTGGGTTCTTCAACGATGCGGGCCAGCAACGGCTCCAGCCAACCATGGAAACATTCACCTTCGAAGGAGAGAAATATTTGTTATAAGATGAATGAACTGGTTGTTTTGTAGGTTTCTGTGATCAAAACATTACTACACACAGGCGTTAACCATGTGTACAGTCTCACTGTGGGTGTAGCTATGATGGGACTAACATCACTTTACCAGAAACTGTACAGTAAAATTGGTTTCTTACAGTGCGCGTCAAGGAAGGTGAGGATTCCTCCCTGGGCCACACTGGCTCCCAGCAGCCTGGCTGTGATCAAGCCTTTCCTTTCTGGCTGCCGGACGACATGGACAATCTTTAGATGGCGCACATACTCCTCCAGCTGAACTCCCAGGTGCTCTGGAAAGACAGAAAAAAATAAGCATGTTTCCAAAAGTGTATTTCTTTGAAGCACCAGAGGAAATGTGGTGACAGTTGCTGTGACTCTTACGAAGACACTGTGGTTACAGTCACAGCAAGAGCAACTAAAAACCAAACCCAGCAGTGATGGTAGTGTTCAAACAGACACTGGGGGCGACTTTAAAGCAGATGTATTGAAATAATTGGTGTTCAGCCCTGTTTAAAACGAAAGGAAATGAAGTGGAAACCTCACTAGTAAAACTGAGTTACACTTCCTTTTAAGATTGCACTTGACCACAATTTGCACTGCACACGTTTTAACTTCCAGTGAGCACAGCCACCACGTCACTAATCGACAACAAAGAGCTGTTTGACTACAGCAGGGAAATGTAAATACAGGTAAAGGTGATTAGCTTACAGCTGCTCTCAGAGGACAGTGGTGATAGTGTCACTGACACAGTGACAGTTCACTGTCATTTCTTCTTTCTGTTGGGCTTTTATTCACACACAGATGAACCTGCTGTTCTCCATGTCTCATTTTAATCAGAATTGTCGAAAGTGATTCCCAAAAGCCCTAATTAGATGTCAGATGATCAAGAGTTGGGGACATTACAGTTACATTAAAACTGTCCAGTAACAGTCCAGTCTATAAAGATAGGTAGATAATAGCCATAAAAAGTTTGTAAAAGGGAAAAGACGAATAAAAACGTTGGTTCATATATGAAAGTAAAAGGCAAAAGTCTAAAGGCTGGCTCAGAAATGAAAGTTAAAGTTAGCTCAGTGGTAAATGACTATAAGCAATTAAACAAAAGTTACATTAAAAATGCTGATAAGTTACAATGAGATTTAAAAAAACAACAACACAAAAGGCTACAGTTCATGGACTGGAAAAAGACAACATCCTGTTCTGAATTCTCATGCCAAAAATCTGTATATTCAGCACCTAATAAAACACTTCTTCCCATTTGGACTTCAAGTACACGCTTGCACCCTAAACCAACAGCTGCATAACAAGCAGCAGAAGCTCCGCTGCCGTTCGACTGCAGAGTCGTGGACATGGGCATCACCATGTCCGTGAAGCTGTTGACTCTGTACACAGACCTCCATATAAAATCTTTAATACTGAGCTAACACCCAGCTCTTATCTTATCAATGGTCACGCCTTGCAGTTAAACCAACCACACTTAGCTGAAGCTGAAGGCCATTTTAATTAATAAATGACTTATCATTTTGCACTTTGTCTTCTGTTTATATCACGTAGTGTGTAAGAAACAGACCGGCTGTGTTTGTCCTACTTATTTTCTTCAAAAAAGTACCTCTTTAAAGACTCAACTTTCCAAAGGAGCTTCAGCCATTGAACAGTAAACTTTTATTTGCACTCTTTTAACTGGTGTTTTAATGTCACAGCAGTTAACTGGCTTCTTTTTCCCTCTGCTTTTATTTGAGGCTAAAAGCAGAACAGAAAGTCAACTCTGATCCCCTCTTTCTTCCCATCACTCAGCTCTTAGACGTTTCTGTTCTTTTATATTCTGTGTGTGAATGTTTGAGTGCGTTGTGACTGGAGTGCGTTGTGACTGGAGTGCGTACAGTACCTGCAGTGCTGGCATCGTCCACCAAGATGATCTCCTTGAGCATGACGGCAGGAGATGTGTGTAGAACGCTGAGCACGGTTCTGAGGAGAGTGGACCAGGCTTCATTGTGGAAGACAATAATAACACTGGTGTTGGGCAGAGGAGGGCAACGGCGAAATTTCCTCTCCACACACCTTTGTGAGAAACCACAAGAAAATGCAGTTACATATTTGTCGAGAGAGAGAGGGTAAAAAAGTCAAATTAGTGGATTGTTACAAATAGTCATTCTGATTAATTAAAAGTCTGAGAAGCTGCAAAGCCATAACAGACGAATGTCTATAATGTTTACATAGACTGTCGACGACATGGAGATCTTCACTCTGTTTTATAAGTTTAGTTTGAGGATTATTATATGGCATGGTACCAAGTTAAACTAAATCAATTTTACAGTAATACATGTTGTTATACATTTAATTATAACAGTCACATTACATTACATTGTCTGTGACCCCCATCACAGTAAAACTCAGTCAAATGAGTTTTTATTTCTCAGTCAGTTTGTTAAGGCTCTTCACTGGCTTATACTTTGCCTGTTTTCTTAACATCTAATAGTATATCAAACCAAGCATACTTGGTCATCTTGGTAACTTTGAGGTTTTTCTGGGTGTTACTGCAATGCCATTTGTCTATTTCCATGTGCACATGTTTCAACATAAACTGGTTTTTAAAAACTGGTTTTTGACTGTTTGTCTTTCTTTTCAATAGTTTTGCAAATATTTGTCTTTTTTGTCTTATAGGAATTCACATTTCTCAGTTTCTCTCACAACTCTTATCTAAACGTTTCTACAGTCTTTTGGACTGTTACAAAACATTTCATTCTTTACTAGTTCTAAGCTGCATAACAAAGTATACAAATGCATTACAATCCTGAAAAATATGTAACATATAATACACATAATGCACTTGAGTGACAATTATAATGTTGAGGATCAAAACAGGAACTGTTTACCCTCAGGTATTTTCTGATATCTGGTTTTGGTTATCCATTACGTAAAAAGGTTTAGCTACCATTCAACTGTGTTTTACTGAGGCAGTCCTCTAGGAAACATAATTATCTTTATTTAAATAACACTTATGTAAATAATATTACCATGACCGGCATTGAAAATAGGGAGGACATATTCCCTCCTGTGCACATTTATACTACTTTATGATCAAACAGTAATTATTCTAAACAAATCTTTCTGACAGCATTCTCTTACTCCACAGGTCTGGTGTCCTCGCCGAGACTACGACTCAGGGATATACGATCTGAGGCAAACTGGTTGAAACAATGTCGGGTCATGCCTTCCTCCTTTTCCTTCTCCTCTTCTGGGGTCAGGTTTGGTTTTTGGAAAGGTTTTCCATCAGCCCCGAAGCTGTTGGGGTCCTGTGGAGGTCTTTCCAGGTGGGGTTTCAGTTCAGCTTGTGTGTAAAGTCCAGGGGGACATTTGAGGTCCACGGTTGGCTGCTCCTGTACTGGTGGTGGCTCTGGAGCTTTGATTTGAAATCCAATGTTGTTGACGGCCTCTTTAACCAGGACTATCATTTTGTCCTTCTTGTCAACCAGCTCCTGAAACCAGGGGTCTGCTGACGACACACTGCCGACATCCTTCTGGAGAACGACTAGAATCACCATGAACAGAGCTCCCCCTAGGATGGCCAATTTCAGAGGAGACACACGCCGGCGGAGTAACAGCCGCATGTTTCAAAGATGACGTCACTGTTTCAAAAAGATAGGAAAAATAAACACAAGTCTAATTCCACAGAAGATGTTGGTGGTTAAAATATCAAGATCTCAACCAAGTTCTGTAAAAAACTAAAATCTAGAAATCCTTCACCTCCACATGCAGCGACTCAGTCTGAAGTTTAAACAGCAAGACGAATTGACGACAGGAATACCTTAAACCGGTTTGTGTGCCTCTGATAGTGTCATAGCAGCAGGCAATCAGCCAGCTGACTGTCTCTGAGGAAACAGTCCCACAGCACAGGTGGAGAGAGCAGAGAGGAGGAGGCTAAACAAACACACCACACCTCTCACTGCACACCTGAACCCACCTGCTGCCTCCACACGTGGAAGCAGGTGGGCAGCGGCAGTGTGGGCAGCGTTGAGTTGCCCCTCCCTCCTGCTGTCTGTTAATCAGTGACGTACGTGTTCAGGCGGAGATACCTGTACTGCTGTAAACTCCTACAGGAAGTAGTGCACGCAACACTGACTGTGAACAGACCACAGGCCAACCCCGCCTTCACACAGCAGCAGGCTAATTTCCCATCTAGGAAACAGGATAAGAGGCCAATACAGGACATCGGTGTGTCATTAGGTGACCACGCTTCACTTACACTTTCACTCTTACTTGATCATAATTAATGTATGCTCTTCTCCAGACAACCTGAAAGTCAGCCATTACCAGAGAGTGGGTCAGAACCACTGACACAAGATCAGCCCATGGTGTCCTGTGTGTTGATACATAATACTATTATTATTTTAAAAATCCCACGGATGTACAGTATCATCCTTCCTTTGTTCATGTTGTTATTCTGTGGATGAACCTGTAGATGAACCAGTTTTTGGTCAAAATTCTATTTCACATGTTGCTTGTTTTATTTATGTTATTTCAGATATTTCTTTTATCTACAGTATATTATATTAATATTACTTTTATTGTAATATAATAATAATAATAATAATAATAATAATATAATATACTTTTTGTTTGATATACTGTTTTGCTTTGTACATTCAATACTTTGTTTTTCAATTCCTTATTAAACAAATAAAACTATAACAATATACAATATCGTATAGCGTAATAGGAGAAAAAAACAGCAGTAAAAACGAGTATTTTTAAAAAACACAAAATTAAAAACCCATCCATGACTGGGGGTTGTTACGTTTAAAACTTAACTATGCTTCTCTATTTAAAAAAACACGGTTGGGGGAGTGTGTTAAGAAGTGTGTTAAGTGTTAAGTAACGTAAAACTCCTCCAGTTAGCTCAACCAGTTACTCCAGTTTATTTCTGTTTTAACGTTAAGAACAATGTGAAGGAACAAAAGTGTGTCAAGGCAGAGTGGGCGTGAGAATGAATTGACAGGCTCAGGCATATAATGACGCGCCATCTCACGGGTGGAGGTATAAATGGGTTTTTTCCCCACTATGGTGCAACTGAAAAGACAGAAGAGCTATAAAAGGATTCCTTCCACTGAAACGGACCTCTCACATATTTGACAGAGTAATGAGCTGTAACTGTCGGTTTCCACAACAGTAGAGATGAACACTGACCGATTAAGAACCACTTACCTTAACCTGTCGACTCCGGCTGAATTACCCGTTCTTTCTTAGGTTTTAAAATCAGACGTGGTGTCGTTTCCAGTTCCGCCAAGTGACTAAACTGCAGTTAAGAGTCAAACGGCAAACTACAGCTCTGACTTCTGCTTTAACACCAGCAGGTGCCATTTGTTTTAAATGATTGTACATACACGCCCCCTAGTGGAGGAGACGGCTTAAGACACACAACAATGCACCAGAGGTTAGACAAACTATTTAAATGAACAAACAAATTAGACGGAATTACAACTTTGCACCGTTTGCTCCGAACTACAAGTCGCGTTAAACCTGCCGAAAATACACGGTGTAATGTTTAGCAACATTTAATGATGAAGTTACAACTGTTAACTGTACAGGAGACAATATGGTAGCCGTTAGTTATCATTAAAAAACAAAGATATGAGTTTGACTGGGCGTGGGGGTTATTGTTAATCGTGATTATCCTTTAATCAAAAATTATTTTCATTTAAGGCAATAAAAATAAAATTACAAATCATACACCTGTTTCTTTAAAAATATTTTGTTGCATAAGTCTTCAGCCATCAAATAAAAACAAATCTATTAGTTTATTTACAGCTAGCTCCACCTTTAATGAAATATAATATAAATATATTTTTAAAAATCTATTTAATTTAATAAGTTGATTAGTGTGATTGTGCAATGTACCTAAAACATATTATTTCATGTATAATAATGTTTGGTGTATTTTTTTTGATGAAGTACTGAAATAAATAAGCTTTTTAATATATTCAAGATTAGTTTTTCAGAAAATTGGATAAAAGTCTCAAGCGGCAAATAACTAGAGCTTGCAGATTTAATTTTGACCTGGAAACACTAATAAAATGTCAAAGTGCCTGGTATTAGAAAAAACATTCTGTGACAAATGTATCATATATACAGTATGTGTGCGCATCCACTTACATGTGTATAAGTAAATGCACACACTACAACTCCCTCCATCATTAGTCTGTTAGAGTAACATGAGTGCATTATCATCAGGGATTAGGAGGAATTTATGTCTCTTAATTAATGCTCACATAGAGTGCTGTAAGTGAACATTGCCATCAACTCAACAGAAATTAATTATTCATGTGCAAGCAATTAAATACCCTCTTTGGTGTCACCCCCTGAAACCAGAGACTGATTTATTCAGAAAAGGAGAAGGCGACATCTCTCACGTTACAGTGACAGGGAGAAATCTGGATTCCAAGCTGCTGATTGACAGGAGGTCTAAGCCAAACAGTATCAACACCGCCAAACAGCCAGAAGCTGTGTTTTCTCCAGTACAATGTGTGAACAATAAAGAAGGATCTTACTCTTTCAGGATATCCATTCATCAATGCATTGCCGTTCTTTTCCCACTGATTCAATATCAATTCAGCAATATTCTGAATCGATTCATGCACCTGGCCAGTGGGGGGCGCTTTTTTACATTTGTACACTATATCCAGTAATGGTATTATTGCGGTGATGCCTTATTTTCAGATGTTTTATTGCTTGAAAATGCTATGATGTTTATATGGGCATGAAACCAAAGAAATAATTATTAAAAGAAATTATAAAAAATTAACTGGTACTCTAATTAATTGTTTGTGTATTTCTACTTGACACAGAATCGACGTTAAAGCATTTAGATCGATATCCAATTAAAATAATATTGATTATGGCCTAAAGAATCAAAATCCAAATGAATTGTGAGATCCTTAACAATTCTCAGCCCCACAGGAAGTCTGTACAAACCATCATCTGGTTGCGATCCCAGAGAGTTCAGACAAAACCAACGGATTAAAACGATTGCAAAAAAGATGTTTATTCATTTCTTATCATTGTGGAAATTGTTTAAATCAATCATTGCACTATTTCTTCAAATCTGCTACTATTTAAAGGATTATAAAAACAGCTTTTGTTTACGTTGACGTTTGAAGACACAAAGTGACAAGCAGAAATGTGGAACTTACTTATAGCTTTTAAAGGCAACAGTTTTAGGCTCAAACCTTAAAGTGAGCATATGACAATATCAGGTTTGTACAAAGAAAAACTCCTACTTCTGTAACAAACCTTTTGGCCTCCACTACAGCCCACCACGATTGGCTGCTGTGGTGGCTTAGATTTGGTATCCAGACTGAAGACCACATCCAAACAGCACTTTGACCATAGACAGCCCTTTCCAGGCCTGTTGTTCAAGAAAAGGTGCCTGGTCCAACGTCTGGCCTCTACACTTACACTTTTGTCTGATTTGTTTGATTTATAAAAGGACAAAGAAAAGTCATTTTGCATTTGTTTCATCACTGGCCCAGACCAGGTCTGCCTGAAAGGATTCATTGCTGTTCTTGTTTTTTTTTTTGTTTTTTTTTTTTTGTTTTTTGTTGATAGCTTAACATTTTTTTGAACATGTCAAACACACTCAAAATAATCAGTACCGGGATTATCTTCTGAAATATGGAATGACGAGGGCATGAAACTGCAGATAACGTAATCAGTAAAGGCCTGGGAGATTTAAAAGGGCTGTTTGGTGGAGAAAGTGAACTGAATCACAATTGATCGACCAGGCAAATAAACACAACTTTGTTCTAACTGAACATACTCTGCTGAGCTTTTCCAGAGAATTATCTGAAAAATCCCTCAACACAGTGTGGATATTAATGAAGGTCTGTCACAGTCTGACTATCAATAACATAAAAAACATTCAGGGAATCAGGAGAAACTGCAGAAACCACAGCTACAGAATATACATGACCTTTTAACCTTTAGGCAGTATTGCATCGCTCTGTTTTCATTTCATTGTTTTGATGAGTTAACAGCTTCTCTGGAAATGGGCTTGTTGTTCCTTGTTTCCTCAACATGAACAAAAATATATATATATATATTTTCTGCAATTCCACCCTCTTTTAGAAGGCTGAGTTTGGTTCTTTTAAAAGAAATAACCCTTAGTAACAACGGAAAAGTAACAAGTGGTTTTCTTTCATTGTGGGCAAAAATACTCTATTACATTACATTCGTCAAATTATTGACCTTTTGAAGTGTAACAAGCCACCACGTTCAGGATCCAACCAGCCGTGGTTATATACTGTAGTGTCGTGTTGTCTATACTGGCCCATGAATATGTTGGACCAGGACAAATGAAAAATCTGAAGGCAATACTTTTGAGCCAGTGTAAAACTCTGGCAGACAGTTATTCCTCAAGTCAGTGGGGACCATGGGCTCTCGCTCATTTTAGTTGGAATGAAATCTGTCAAATTCACAGTCCAGTAAAAGACAAAAACAAAAAAAAAACTTGGTTCTTCTTATCATTCTGGACTGAAGAAATCAAGACTGGACACACAAACCTGGAGATAATACAAAACATGCCTTGCAGCAACCAGTTTGGCAAGAAAGCATTGTCATACAGTATCATAAAAAACCTCACAGTGAAAAGTTACAGTATGCCCCTTTATAGATAAAGACCAGCATTCAGTTATTTGTGCTGACACCAGTGCACACACTCACTCACGCTCACACTCACGCGCGTACACACACACACACACACAAACACTCCTGAATATAAAATATCTCAGGACAATCCGCAGTACCGTGACAATAATGCAGTCGTTCTTCTTTAGTCTCGTACTCGACCTAAAAACACATTGCAGAAAGCAAGTCACATGTTTCACTGAACCACAAACAGACTGTGGCTAATCACACAGGCTGGAAGAAACAAAGAAGGCCCTGATAAGAATCACGCAAGTCACAGAGAGTTTGTGGTGAGTGAGTCTGTGTGTGTGTGTGTGTGTGTGTGTGTTCCTTCATGAATAAATCCACAGCAAAAATAAAATATAGGCTTATCGTCCCTCTCAGTGACAGTGACATTACCGTGGCCTGTGGTGATTAAAGATGAACAGAGTGTCTCATGATAAGTCTGTTTGTTTCTCTCTCTCTCTGTGTGTGTGTGTGTGTGTGTGTGAGTGATGGCAAACTCTTGTTCTTTGGTTGTTTTCATCTGTTAGGTTTTTTTCCTTGCATATTTAGGTGTTGTTTAAAGTGTGTTCTTTTTTTGTACAAGGTCTTCAGAAAGTTTGGTCCACATGAAAATAAATAATGTCTCCAGAGGAAAACCAAAAAATAAAAAAAAATTCAGGTACTATTGCTCATCGATATAAGCATAGCCACTTCGTCCTAAGGCAACTGGGCTTCATGATCCCTCTAGCAGCTTGAGTAAAAGCCTTCAAACGTGATCAGCGTCCTTCATGTGTGCATCATTCATGACGTGGCAACTAACGGACAGGCCCGGCTCGTCCCTGTCGGCCGTCCACTCCACCCAGTGCTTTGGTTGCTCATCGCCGGGCTGTAAGCTCAGTCTCTCCATCCTGTCAGTGCAGTGGGAGTCACTCCGCAGGCGGCGGGTCTGTCGTTAACTGCCTGGGGGACCGCTGGTGAGAAAGTAAGTGGTCATCTCCCCCTTTCCCTTCACCTTGACAACGCCTCTGCAGTCCAGCTGGTATCCATTGTTGACCAGCACGTGGTACAAGTCGGTGGTCACCTAAAGGAGGATATGGACATTTGACACCAAGGATGCGTGTTTGTTTTCAGGTTCATTGAGAGAAACACTTACAGTGATTGTGGCCATGAACGAAGTACAGTAAAGCGGCAAAAACGGAAAAAAAGTCTTGGAAAAAACATGAGATTAAAAAAGAAAACAAATCTCTGCTAAAAGATGTTAGAAAGAAATAGCTGCACATTTAATCTCAGTGGAAGAATTTGTAGTTATAAGACCAAACGTGTGTCTCACTAACGACAAATGTGTTTTGTTACAGAAAGATACATTTTCCATTGCTCACTCTTTCTTGTCTGTGCAACGTGCCCCACCAACATAAACACATCACGTTCTACACCACTGCCGAGAACCAAAACTATAAAATTATACCTCCGCAAATGTATAAATTACAAAGCGGCGCAGTGCATGTTTTTTTAAAAATAAAAATATACAAAAGAACGTACAATTTTTTTTCTAAATTTGACAAATGTTTCTCTACTTGCAGTAACCCACTCTGCGCGCCAGGGGGCAGCACAGTTTTCCCCGTGTTATGCCCAAACGATGATTTATGCGTTTCATTTGATGCAGAAAATCTGTGAGATCTAAACTGGTGCAAGTCACACATTTCAAAGTGTCTGATGAAATCTATGACACTTCCGTAAATAATGCAGTGAGCGAGGCTGTGGGAATCCTGTCCCTGACTGACACTTGCTCTCTGTGGAGACAGGCACAGATTGTAACTGTGGTTAAGATTTTCCGTGCTGAGGAGAACAATTCTGTGGTAGCTGCAACGGCCTCAGCAGGGAATTCAAATTTAGCTTTCTGTTCTCCTCCAGAGGGACATTAGAGCAC